GCTTTCACCAAAAAATGTATTTTTAAGTAAACTGCATCGTCTGCTACTTTCTCATGTGCCCCTAAGGCCTATGGAAACTGTCACAATTAAAATGCTGAGCACACTGGGACACCACAGTTCAGAAGCCCTTCCCGGCGGGGTGCTGGCATTGAGAGCACAGGCTTCTCCAGGCCCTCACAGCACGCAGAGACAGGGCGGGGGGACCAGGCCGAGCCCCGCTGGCCTCTACCCCGGGCTCTGCCTGCTGTGACATCTCCAGTCAGAGAGATAAAACCCCTATGGAGCCAACAGGCAGCAGCCCAGGGCATGCAGCCCACACTTACACCTGGTTTTCAAACTGATGAGGAGAACATTCTGGAGACTGGCGTTTTCTCCACGCCTGCCGCCCTTTGTGATGTTAAGCCTTTAATCACTGCAGAAGACACCCCTCGGTCTGCCCACACTCACTCCCCCTCCAGGCCACGTGCCCTCACCCGCCCCAGGTCGCGGCTCCTCCGGGCTCCAGGAGCCGGTCTGGCCCGCACGGGGCTCCAGAATTTCCAGAGCTTGAACAAGCTGCCCACACTGCCTCCAGGCCGTCAAACGGGAAGCCTGCCATCGCCAGTCATTTCTACAGAGGGAAACCGAGTCACAAGACTGGGCAGAGAAGGAAGCCAAGCCAAGTCAGAAGCGCCTTCTGGATGTAGAGGTGCAGGGACTGAATGACGACCTCAAAACGCATCAGAGGAAGCTGGTTTTCCAAACACCCGAAACCAGGCTACACCGCCATGCGCTTCCAAGAGGGACACCTGGGCACACAGCTTCCAAACTCGAGCTTTCGAGGGTGAAGCTGTGGCTGGTGACAAAGTTCCCAGTCCCGGCTCCCCCAGGAAAGGTCCCCCCCAGAGCCTGTTCGGAGCGCTGAAGGGTGTCGTCCTGACTGCGGCCTGTCCGCGTGGACCGAGGGGCCGTGAGCGCGGGGGGAAACCGGCCCTTCACCATCGCGAGAAGATAAGCTTCCGATACCTGATTATTTTAGAAATACTCTTACGGTGCTTTCCAAGCACGTCTGAGCTGTGACAACACACTCTGAGTTCACCGTAACAGGAACGTCACAGAATAATTAGCAATTTGCTTTAAGTGAGTCAATGGCAAAGCACAGCGGGGCCACCTGGATGACCAGGTAACCTTCAGGCCAGCCTCCCCAGGGGCCCGGGGGGGTCCCCAGAGGGCGCAGTCAGGACCGAGAAGCCTCCTGCACTCCGGAGGGACAGCACAGAAGTGTGAGAGGAGCGCCCAGCTGGAGGGCCGGGCACTGCCCACCCGCCGCCCCGCAGCCCGTCTCTGTGCCGGGGGGACCTGGTGAGAAATTAGATTCTCCTGCCGGCCAGGCCTGGTGCGCTGCTGGGGAGGCTGGTGACTGGGGCGGAGAGAGACGGCGTGATGGACGACAGACCGCAGATGGGCATCGCCGTCCCCAGAGGGGCCCTGGGACCCCTGCAGGGGACACAGGCTGCCCCCCAGGGCTACAGCGCTGCCTGGACCAGGTGCTCCCCAAGGTGGGTCCGCATACGTGCAGATCACAAGACACAGTCCCGTGGGGAAACAGAGGCGGCAGAACAGAACAGAGCCTGGCGGGCAGAGCCCCTGCCCACTCTGGGACTGGGCCGCGTCCCCGGGCTTCCTGTCACACGGACAGCGCTCTGGCGTGGCCCGGGCTGTCTGATGGGCGTCAGTTGGGGAGTAGATTCCCATGAGCTCACACTGGACGCTACGAAAAGAGGTTGGGGGAGGGGGCGGAGGGCCCGCCGGAGGCCGGAATGGCAGAGGTGTCACACTGTTTAGTCCTTGCTTTTTTTTTTTTTTTTTCATATACAATAAAACGGTTTACTACCACCTTTTATTACCACCAATTATATTAACCTTATTTTACAACAATGAAAAATAAGAATAAGCTCTCAGGTATTCTGTGTCTTTCCAGCCTCTAAAAACAGTAATCACTCAAATACCTGATGATCTACTCTAACAGAGCAAAGTGCCAAAAATATTTAGTTTCCCAAAGAGACCCCATTTGTGAATACAAGCTACTAATACAAATAGGAAAGAAGTAGTCCTCGCTTTTTAATTACTGTGGGGACAAGCTTCTCCTGCGGTGCTGAACACATTGGAACATTCAAAACTGGGGCAGGAACTTCTACAAACACTCCCAAGCTGGGCTGCAGCAGGGCACCAGCACCGAGGAGAGAGGGGGCATCAGGAGGCTGTGGGGAGAGGAGGCGCCGGGAGGGGGGGCGCCATGAAGGCTGCGGGGAGCACATCAGAGGAGCACAGCGGCAGAGCAGAGTGGGAAACCGGAGCAGGAAGCCTGAGCCCACAGTGCGGAGCCCACAGACCAAGCCACAGACCAGAGCCTACAGATCAGAGCCACAGACCAAGCCACAGACCAGAGCCACACACCGGAGCCGGAGGTTCCAGACCACAGGAGGCCAGTGCAGCTCATTCTAGAACACACCAGACACTTCCAGTGGGTATGAGCTGGGCTCAACCCAAACCTGAATCACAGGGTGTTCACAGACTGTTATTTCCAAAGCCCCCCCATGAGTCTAAAGAACCCAGTATCTGCCGGGTTTGAACACACTCCAGCGACGCTCCAGGAGATGACAGAGTTCTGGGGGTTCGAGCCCCTCTTTCCTTCTGAGGAGGGTGCGGGGCGGCTTAAGAGCAAAGCGATGATGCCGGGTCACATGGGCCAACTAACCTTGAGGCCAGGTTCTATCTTTTCCTTCATGTTTTTAGTGCCCAATTTCTATGAAATACTTTTTAAAATAGAAAAAAAAATTAGTGGTGCATGAGAGCAGAGAGCAGGGAGAAAAGCCAGGAAGGAAAATTAAATATTTCTGCCTGAGCGGAGTTCGTCATGTGACGGCACCTACCGTGAGGGTCCCCAGACTCCGAGCAGCCTGGCACCTCAGGCCTGGCCTCCTCCCCCTCCTCTGGACCCCCTGGGTGCACGGTCTGGACCCCTGTTCTCGGTCTCCCAAAGCCTCCCTCACAATCACCGCCCTGATCCCGCGACCTGGGTCCAGGGCCCAGTGACCCGCACAGTGTCCCCTGCTGGAATGTGTCACGACAGGAGTCAGGCAGCCCTCCCCCCAGCGTCTCCATGGCAACCCCTCAAGCGCCCTCCTGGGGCCTAGCCCTGCAGAGCTGTGAAATGGGTCTGTGTGTAGGCTTCCTTCTGGGAGGGACGTGGCCACCGGGGCCTGCCTCCCAGAATCCTGCAGACCAAGCACGCGCCTTCCAATATGTTTTCGAAACTACAAAAAGCTGTGAAAATCTAAGGTAAAGTTTATGCAAATGAATGCTTTCTGGAAATCTTGCAAGTGTTAACCATGAGGTCGCGCCCAGGGCTACCACCGGCTATTTGACAAACACTCTTAAGCTTCTGTGGAGAAGATCGCGTTTCTCTTCCATAACACTCGTATTTTAAAATACTGTTCTTTATTGGGGAGCCTGGGGGCTCAGTCGCTTGGGCATCTGACTCCAGCTCAGGTCATGACCTCACGGTTTGTGGGTTCGAGCCCCACGTCGGGCTCTGTGCTGACAGCTCAGATCCTGGAGCTTCTTCAGACTCTGTGTCTCCCTCTCTCTCTGCCCCTCCCCTGCTCACGCTGTCTCTCCCTCTCAAAAACAAGGAAACATTTTTTAAAAAATTTTAAATGCTGTTCTTTTTAAAAAGCAATTAAGAGTTGGAAACAAAGCATAGTACTGGCCAGATGTGAAAAGTGGCTTCGGGTCCAAGTTTCTCCCACAGACTCAGTAAAGAAATGCTCTGTCTCCAGAAGCCCCCACCAGGGGGGCCCTGCAGCCCCTCCACCTGTGCTGCCCCAGGTCGTGCTCTGGAAGGAAGGCCGGTCCCTCTGAGTGACAGCCCCGCGGGGACACTGGCTCCGTCAAGGACCCCAGCAAGCTGCCCGCAGAGTCAGAGGCTCCCGGGGGAGGTGGTCTGCCCTGAGCTCCGTTGCAATTCCCCGGGCTGCCCGCCCACTTCCTATCGCTAACTCCACATTTTACAACTTTTGCAGACCCTTGGGCGGTGCCAAAAGGAGCTGGGCTCAGCCAAGAAAAGTGGAAACTATTTTTGGCATCCAGAAGGGCAGCTGTAGGCCGCGGACACAGTCGGCGCCTAAAACGCATGCCTGCCTTTACAGATTTGGAGAGCTTCTCATCCGGGACGCATCCGGAAACCTCGAGGGCCGCGGCCAACTCGGGGCGCCCTAGGCCAGAGCCGCGGCCGCAGGTCGGCTCGGCTCCGTCTCCACGGAGGAGCCTCCAGGGAGGGCGAGGCCGGCGCGGGGGTCTGAGCTCCGGACCCCCTCCAGCGCCGAGCGGCAGCGAGCGTGGCAGGAAACGCACCGGCCCCTCCGTCTACACCCCAGCTGGCAACGGGCTCGCTGGGGTGCAGGGAACGCTGAGGGAGCGTGCGCCCCGCGGGCAGGAGGCGCCCGGCGCCACGCGCAGGCAGGGACCCGGGGGCGCTGCGGCCGGTCTCTGGGGACCCAAAGCGGGGACGAGGGCACCGCGGTCCTGCAGGAAGTGGAGGCGCCGGGGACGCACCGCGCTCGGGCGGGAGGGGCGCCGACCTCGGCCGCGGAGGGGAGAAGGGGGCGCGGAGGAAGGGCGCCAACTGGGGACGGAACCAGGGAGGGGGAGGCGCGGAGGAGAGCACGGGAAGGAGTGGGGGGAGGGGACTACGCCGTGCCCAGGCAGGGTGGGGATCGGGAGCGGCGGGAAGGGGGCGCGGAAGGGGGCGCGAGCGCGCAGGGAGGGGCCGGACGGGGGCTGCCCCGGGGCTCTCCCCCGCCACCCCCCCCCGCCGACCGGCTGGGGATTCCAAGCCGCCAGCTAACAAAGGAGGCTCCGGAGGCCGCGCGCCCCGGCCCGGACGGACAAAGGCCCGCGACCCGCAGCCCCGCCCGCGCCCTCGGGGTCCGCGCCGCCCCGGCCCCCGCGGCACTCACAGGATGGAGGTCTGCGGCGCCACGGCGGGCACGGCCTCCAGCAGCAGATGCATGCAGCGCACGGTGGTGCGGAAGCAGAGGCAGCGGCTCGGGCAGCCGGCGCCCGGCTTCGGGGCCACCGCGGCCAGCGCCCCCCAGCCGCAGCACAGCACGAGCGCCAGCAGGCAGCGGGGCGCGGGGCCCGCGGGGCGCACGGCCATCGCCCTGGGCGCGCGGCGCTCGGACGCGAGAGGAGCCGCAGCGCCCGCCGCGACCCTGCGGGCTCCGGACTGCGCCCGCCCGCGCGGCCCACGTCCCAGCTGTGCGCGGGGGGCGCGGGGCGCCAGCGGTGCACATGCGCGCGGCTCCTCCCACCCCCACCCTCCCCGAGGGCCGGGGCGGGGCGGGGCCGGGGGCCGGGCGTCTGGCCGCTGCGCCCCGATCTCCGCCCGGGGCCGCCGCACCGCCCTCCCCGAGGGGCCCCCGGGGCCCAGGCCGGGTCTGCGCGCGGGAGCTGCGCCCTGGGCCGCGGCGCCGAGCCGCGCTGGCCACTTGCGGAACGACGGCGCTTGGAGAGTGCTCGCCGCGCCCCGGGCCGCGCTCCACGGGGCCTCTCCCCCTCCCCTTCTGAGTCCTCTCCCCCCTCCCTCACCCCCTCCCTCCCCCTCTGCCTTTCTCTCTCTTTCTTGCTGCCCCCTCCCCCCTCTCTCTCTGCCCCCTTCTCACTGCAGCAGCAGGATCGGAGCCAGCCTGCTGGGCACCTGCCTGTGACCCTGAGGCCTGCTCTCGCCCGCGCCCAGGGCCCTGTTCAGAGCACAGAGGACATCTGTGCAGGGCCCTGGGTTCTGGGCTGGGCCAGGAGGTCGCTCGGCGCGCTTGCAGTTCCCTCCCCGGGACGCAGCCACAGGAAACCCTGGGGCCCACCCCAAGTGGGACCTGGCTGGAGCCGCCAGCAGACACGGGGGAGACTGAGTCACACACAGACCGTCCGCCACTTCCCGAGTGATCCGCTGATTCTCACAAGAACCCGATTTCACAGAGAAGGACCGTCCCTAGTGCAGCCCAGGTCTGGCGGCGGGCAGTCGAACCCAGGTGTGCCTGAGGGCACACGGGGTGAGGCTGGTGAGTGGGTGACTGGTGCACACGCCCGCATGGCACACACTCCCTGGGCCCCCTCGGAGCCGGAGCTGGGGTCTGGCTCAAGGCCCTTCTGGAAGCTTGTGTGCCGGTCATCGAGGCCACTGCCGCGATGGCCACATGAACCAGGCTTCCTGGCCCCCTAGGGACCCAGCGTGAGCCACCCCAGGGCCCTGTGCTCTCCAGGCACAGACCTTCCCCCTACACGCTCCTGGGTCCACACACTCCACACGCCGTCTGTGAGCCCTGACCTGAATGCCGCACAGAAACACGAACATTCCTTTCCCGGAAAAGGAACATTCCTTTTCCTCCGGAATCACTGACTTGGCCCTGGGAACCCCTTCCTCATGGCCTCAGCCTGGTTCGCCCCGACCCCAGCCTCACCCTGCAGGACGGAGGTGTGAACTTCGCCAGCCAGTGGCTTGTTCTCTCTGACCTGGTCCCCCATGGCCCCCACAGCCGCAGGCTCAGTGCCGAGGCCCCTCCGGGCACCCTGCTGCCTGGCCTTCTGCCCCGCAGTAGACGGAGAAGAGGTCACAGCTTTGACCCCGCCACTTCCTGTCCAAACATCTGATTTAAGTGGGCAGAGGCCACATTTCACAAGACACCTTTCACCTACTGTCTCGCCCTGGCGGCGGGGGCGTCTCCGAGCAAAACAAATTGTTACCTTCTCCTCTGGGTTCAGCAAGCAGTGTCTACGCCAGCGGCGGGGTCCCTCTCATGCGTCTGTCTGTCTGGCCGGGCTACCGGCACGCAGGGCGTGGGCCCAACTCTGACCCAGGTGTGGTGCTGCAGGGGTTTTGAGATGAGACGAGCACTGGTGGACGTGTACAATCTGCTGCCTTTAAGTAACGATCGCCCTCCCCAGGGTGGGTGGGCCTCACCCAATCAGTTTACGGCCTTAAGAGTAAAAATTGGAGTTTCCCAGAGAAGAACGTCTGCCTCAAAACTGCAGCATCAGCCGCTGCCTGAGTTTCTAGTCTGTCGGTCTGTCCCACAGACAAAGGGGTCGCTGGTCCCCACAATCAGAGGAGCCAGTTCCTTAGAATCTATCCATCCATCCGTCGTCCCTCCTCCCTCCTCCCTTCCCTCCCTCCCTCCCCCCTTCCCTCCTTCCTTCCAGGATCCTGCTGTGCTGACTCTCTGGAGGCCCCTGACACACCGCCATTTGCAGAACGCTGAATGAGGAGGTGTGGGGGGAAGCTCGTATAATCATTCATGGCTGAAAGAACTCACATTTTTGCAATTAAGCTCCTTCTATTGAGCTGAGCTCGCCTCGCTTGTCTGGGGTTCATGCTGTCCCGCTCCCGCCCTCTAGAGGCCCATGGGCGCCTCACACCCGCCGACGGACCTTCCCGCAACAGCTGAGGACTTCAAAGCCACTGAAGGTCTCAGATGCTCAGGACCCACATGCGAAATCCCCATTTCCCGCCGATGGCCACTTTGCAAACTGATTCTCTGCCCCAAATCCCGCCACCCCTGTGCCCGTTGGCAATCTCTAGCTGCACTGATGCCCACACAGAGGAGCGAGGATTAAGGAGTGAAGAAATTCTGTCCTAACCTCAATCCTCAGTTTTCCGTTGGGTACAACCTTCCCACAGAGCTTCAGGGTGGCCCCTAGACTGCACGCAGGCCGAGCCCTGTGCCCCAGCTCCCCGCAGCAGGGAGCGCCGTCCCAGTGGATGCCAGATGGAGTGACCCATGCTTGGAGGATCCAGGTTACTGGACTGGCAGCTGATCGAGGGAAGGAAGCAGCGCTGGCTCAGCATCCCCACTGCGCCGGGGCCCCACGTGAGCCGCCTCTGGTGCCGTGGACCCTCTGGGGACCCTCTGAGACCTTCACCCCAGCCCCCACCTATTCTCAGGGGCCTTGCCTGGGGCCACCAGGAGCCCTGCACCCCGGAGGTTAGGTAGACTGTGCCCCCCCATAGCCACAGGCCAGAAGACTGCAGAGCCCCGGGGCCGTCAGCCAGCCTCTCCCCTGCTCAGCCGGCTGCCCCCACTCCTGACAGCGCCTCTCCTCCACGGGCTCTGGTGAGATGCCCCATCCTGGGGGTGCATCTCTCCCTTCATGCCCACAGGGTCCCCCCAGAGCGGGAGCTTTGCATGTCCCACTACCTCTTCACAGTGCACTGCGTCATCTGTCCCCTGCCCGTCCCCCTGCGGCCCGGAGCAGTCTGCCCGGGTTTACGCAGAAAGGAACATGGGCTCTGGAGCCAGAACCGGGAGGCGGCCTCGCACTCCTGGTGACTTTCTCCCCCGCTCTGGGCCTCAGTTCCCGCACCTGTGACCTGAGACCAGGTAGGGGCGAGGATTAAGGGGGAAGCCGTACAAGGCGCCCACACGCAGGCAAATTCCACAAACACAGCGGGGCGCCCGCCTGCGAAGCTGCCCGGAGTCTGGAAGGCTGGGAGGCCAGCCGTGGGGCCGTTCCCAGACGATGAGTCAGCCCCGCGCAGAACCTGGCTGTGCCCGAGGGGAGGCCTCGCTCTCCAAGGCGCCCGCTCCTCAGGCAGATCCCACCGCCAGCCTGTTTGCTGCAGGTGCCTGCGCGCCCAGCCCCCCTCGGCCCCCCACGGGCAGGGGACTCTGCCAGGGAGCAGCGCTGCACAGGGGTGAGGGGTGCTGCTCAGCTCACACCAGATGAGCGCCCTAAGTCCTGGAGGGCAGAGGTCAGCCATCAGGGAGTCAGCAGCTGGGGTCTTCCCCCTGGGGGACACAATCTGCCCCAGGCCTCTCTCCAGCTGGCCTGGCGCTCTGGCCGTGCAGACACCTCCCTCGGACCTTTGCCGTGGTCCTCACGTGGTGCTCCCCAGAGGCTGCTCACACGTGCTCCTTTCCCCTTCCACGGCCCACCCTGGCTCAGAGCCCCCCTCCATCTCCTCCTAACGTGGCCGACTGCATCCACAAGACCTTCCTCCAGACAAGGCCACATGCTGAGCTCCCAGGAGGACGTGGGAGACACACGCAGAGATGGAGTTCAGTTCTGCGGTCACGTCCAAGGGCTTGAATTCCTCATAAGCTGTCGTGAGCTGGAGCAGAGAAGGTACCTGGCACGGGCCTGGGTCACGGCAGCCACCAGGTGGCAGAAGCCTGACAGAGCCACGTGGCGTGGGTGAGGGGCTGGGCTGCAAGGGCAAGGTGTGGCCTCCACCAACGAGGCCAGGGAGGCTCCGGGGAAGGGACTGCTGTCCGCAGTGTGGCCACAGGACTTGATACTCCCGAATCCCACGCGGCCCGTGGAGGACCTCTCCTCCGTGTCTCCCGGCCTGGTCCCTCCAGCGCGGCCCAGGCATCCCCGGCCTCGCCCACGTGGGGAAGAAAAGAGAAATCTTAAGAAGCCTTTTGGGGGGACACCTGGGTGGCTCAGTCCATTAAGCATCCAACTCTTGATTTCGGCTTAGGTCATATGATCTCATGGTCATGGGCTCGAGCCTGCTTGGGATCCTCTTTCCCTCTCTGCCCCTTCCCTGCTCGTGCGCGTGCTCTCTCTCTCTCTCTCTCTCAGTAAATAAATAAATAAATAAATAAATAAATAAATAAATAAATAAAATTTTTAAAAGAGCCTTTTCTCTGGAGGTCCCTATTCCACTTGCTTCCCGACCTGAGGAAGGTTTACATACACTCCACACCCCCTTTGGGTAAGATGAACTATCACGGGGCCTCCCCTGTGCCCGCGGGAAGAGGGGTCCCCACTGAGGGGCGCTCCTCCCGACCACGCCCATGACCACGCGCACAACCGCAGGCACTGGCCCCACCCGCCCCCGCACGCCCCCACCCCCGGCGGCCTGGGAGGGCAGGGAGGGGCCGCGTGGCCCCCAGACCTGCCGCCGCCCAGCAGGGCTGAGAAGACAAGGCCTGCAGAAGGCGGAAGGAGCGGGTTCACGCCGGGAGTGACCGAAGCCGGTGAGTGGGGCCCCGTCCTGAGAACCCCGAGGTCTGGGGCAAACTCAGACTCGGGCCCGCGCCCCCCGACGGAAGGGGAGGCCCTGACTCGTCTGCACAGCAGGGAGCGGCCAGGGACTCAAAACCACAGTCAGTCCCTCCTCCCTGGAGCCGTCCTGCGTCTCCTCCACCGCTGGGCCTTCTCCCACCCTCCCTCAGCGCCCGCTGCCCTCCAGCCCCCTCCCCGCCACCTGCCGTCCCAGGGCCTGCCCTCCAGGGGGGAACAGGCCCGTCCCCCGTTGGTGGGGCTG